ACACCAAGTCAAGGGTTAAGATCCCCTTACCAGTCATCTTTTAAAAAAAAAAAAAAAAAATCATGTCATTTGAGTCATATCTTTTTTTTTTTCTCTTTTTTAAGTCACATAATTTAAGCACAGTGAGCATAAGAATAAAATGTGGAAGGAGGTCATCGTGCATACAGGGAATATATCCTGTTTGTTACTTTCTTCCTGCACAATTACCATTCCATGTTCCCTCCCTTACCTCAAGCTTTCAGCATTCCATCAAAAAATCTCTTCCAAACACCAAGGTAAAGGGTTCAGATCCCCATATCAGCCAGCTGCCACCCCCCTCCCCACAAAAAAAATCTCTTCCAAGAATCCTATAGTATCCACATGTTTATGTGATAACATTTCTCAGCTCCTTGGGGATGGGGCTGATGTTGCAAAGTGACAGCTTTAAGTTTTGAGATGTGCGTGTGTACATATTGCTTCCTAATGAACCACTTCCCTAATGAGGGAGTCATAAACTTATTGGCCCAGTTTCAGGAATTATTTCTTGACCCACTAAACTGTTGCTGGAGATTTCTTTAACCTCTGTCATTGCTTCTGCTGCTGCTAATGAACCAATCCTCTAAGGCCTTTCAAGCCTCCGGGTTCCAGCTCACAGCCAAAAACCTCTTATCACTAGCTGCTGCTCTGGAAACACTGACACCTTCCTGTCCTCCCTCTCCCACGCCCTTATCCTCCTTAAAAACAGGGTTAAAATCTGGTTTGGTGGTTTACTCAACTATGGCTGCACATTAAAAACACCTGGGCAGCTTTAAATAGACAACTGCCTTGGCCCACTCAGATTCTGTTTTTGTTTTTGGTGGCTGGCCAGTATAGGGATCCAAACCCTTGATCTTGGTGATACAAGCCTACTCACTAGGCCCACTCAGATTCTGAATTGGCCTGGGAGATGGCTGGCACCTGTATTTTAACTTCCCCAAGTGAGTTTATTATACTGTAAGGGTGGAAAACTATGACTCTAATGGCTCAAAAGCTTAAGGATTTGTTCCCAAAGGAGAAAAAAAGCCCCAATTCCTGCTGCTGCAGCAGTTATACCACACATTCATTATATGCTGTGATTAGGAGCTCCAGTGCTCCTAATCAAGGTTAGCGCGTGGTACTTACACGCAGTACTTACATATATTCTGTGGTCAGAGGCTACAGTATTATGGTTCACCTATTATGAGTAAGACAGGCCTTTGAGAATTGGCCCAGAAACCAAAGAACTCTTACTATATTCCTTTTCCTTTACAAACTTTCAAGAAAGGCTTCCTGTACTTTTGATTTCCTAGAGTAAGGATTTGGTAAAAGGCATAACATGGAACTTTAAACAGTTTGATTTTGTTTTGTTTTTTGGTGGAACTTTAATCAGTTTGATTTTGAAGTAGGTATTTCTAGGCTTGGCTTCTGGGAGAAAGGAGGTTGGGATTCTCTCATGCTAGAGAAAGTGTGAAGGAACCTAACTGCTTGTGCAGGAAGAATCCCCTAGGCTAGGGCTTGTGTGGAAGGAAAGCCCATGACCTTGATCTTCTCAGCTCTATGCTATGCAGTCTTTCTTCTCTTTCCTCATGATTAAATTTGCTATTGCTTTACATTGCTATCGTTTTTAGATTATCCATAGAATGGACAAAGAGGCTATTGATTGTTAAGCCCAGAGTAAAACCATCACTCAGAACCAGACAGGAACAACCAAATACCAAGTGTTCAGGCAGTAGGGAAAAAACTTTGGGCCCAAAACCATCACTTGATGCTCTCTAATCTTGGCTGCATATAGCTGAAGTGACCACCTCGACATGCTAAACTGAAAAAATCTTTAGAATACCTCATGTAGAGGGTGGTAGGATGAAGATTACCAAGATGACACAAAGAACCTGGTACGGTGCCTGGCCCATTCCTTCTTCACTGCTATGGCCCCCAAACTCTCAACATCTTATTTCTCCAGACTCTCAACTTGGGATCACTGCAGCTAGGATGATGATGGCTAAAGATCTTGCTTGTCGACTTAACATTTCTGCTCAAAAATGATCTTGAAACTTTTTCAGTGAAGTTATTGAAATAAAATGATTTTTTTAAAGGCAACCAAAGCTAAGAGAGACTAAATCATTTGTATTTGTTCACCAAGTTGAGATTTACAGAACCAAAATGTGAACCCATATCTCATTGTTGCTAATTTGTCCACCCCCAAAATTTATACCATACAGGCCTGGAAGACTCACAGGGCGCTGGTGAAAAAACAAAGCTCAAGGACTTGGCTCACAATAAGTGCACGAGAGAAAAAAAGGAACCACGATCCCCTCACAGCACTGCCTCTCCCATTCCTGCCCGGTTAACCCACACCAACTTTCCTCCCCAAATCCCTTTTGCAGGTACCATGCTTACTTTTCCCTGAAACAAACCCCACTCCAATGAAAATGGGCACCTGCAGTTTTTCGCTTCTTACTAACACGTCATTTACCACCCCGGATTAAGTCCTAACAAAAATATCCATAGCCACTATTAATGTGTGCACCTCTCCTCAGAAATACCGCCCCTTTCACCGACTAGGGATCTGTGGAATTCAGACATACCAAATAGAGCCCAT